TTTTGTCCAACCATTGTTAATGAATATATCGAGACACTAGATCAATTAAAACTGAAAATTTTCTAGATGGAACTTTTAAAAGTTAGCAGCATCCTTTGACGTGCAATTTTATCTTGGTATATTGAGGAAACCACGCATAACACGTTCATAAATTTCATGGATAGGTATATAATATATGTACATAATGACAACACCCTATGTATTTTGTCGGACAGGGTTATTTATTAAACTAAAATACTTCAAAGAATTCCATAATAATTAGGGAATTATAATTGTTTTAATTTTAAACCTTGACTGACATAAATCAAGTGGCTTTATGTAAACTTGGATTTTCCGGTCCAAGGTTAAACGTATGAAAATAAATTATAATGTCTGAAAAGCTTACTTAAATGGTATTTTACTACGCTATCTTTTTTTAGCTAGATAAGGAGAGCACAGAACGCATGTTGAGTGGTATGCTATATTGAAGATAGTTAGGTATGTCTACCTACAAAGTTGCATGGTTTATTTGGTCTTATCTGACACAATCAGGACAAATTCATCTGTTTCTAGAATGGCATCCCCTTAATTATTTTAAAATACCATATAATCGTTATTAGATTCGTAGTGAAAATAATTAATTATTTCGTTTATTTATCGTGTACCTACGTACTGAATGTGTAGTTTGACGGTAAATTTGGATTAAGAATCAGTAGGTTTTTCATATAGGGCATAGAAAATGTCAGGATTTTCATATGTGTGTCTTGATGTCTGTATGTACCTATGCCAATCTTTACAGTCTAAAATTAGGATTTAACTTCAGTCATCTGACACCTTGAATAAAATTTATAATTTGTTTCAAACTTAATCCAGTCCCTGCAAATAGATAAATTATATTTACACTAATTGTCACATTAATTAATTATACAATAAAAAATAATGAATACATTTGTAGATCTGCACTTGCAGCTAAATAATAGCGACTTTACATTTATTCTCAATATATTAACAGAAGAAAACGGCTCTAATACTCGTACAACAAATATAAAATCGCTTGTAACAAATTTAAACCTACCTAACGCAGACATATTTCAAAAATCAAAAATGTGGGTTGATAAATTGGAATCTGATAAGGGTATTAGGTAAATTCGAAAAGGATTTAAAAGATGAACAAAAGCCCATAATTTCATGTGGAAACTGACTGTCGCCTCATAAGATGGATTATATGCTGAATGCTTGAAAAAAGTTGGATTTCAATATGGAGAGGCAACATTTTTAAAGCGACAAAGCCTATTATTTAGTACCTTTCTAGATATTTTTTGCTTGACTCTAGCTTCTATAGTTGATGTCCAAGATTTATAGGCTTCTCCCAAAGGAGGCCACCTTCCTGCGTTTATCTTGGACTGTTAGCCGTACCCCTTCAAGGTATTCCAGCCTTTTTCAGAAGTGAGCAGGATATTCACAGAATAAATGTTGTGTAGTTTCTGTTGCTTGTTCGCAAGATCTGTATAGTGGTCGTTGTCTGATTTACCTATTGATTTTAGAGGATATTTCACCAGGCGATGCCCGGTGAGCAGACTGACGACTATTCTAATGTCTCTTCTGTTCATGTCAAGAAGTTGTTCAGATCTCTTTGGTGAGATGGATATGAACCTATTGCCTGTCTCAGACGTGGAATGTGGAATGGATCTCCAATGAGCTAGCATTCGGTCCTTTTCCCATCTGTTCATTTCTTCGGAGACCTGGCTTTTCATTAGTCCACAAAAAAGTTCTGGGCCGTGAAAAGGTGTTAAAGCGCCTTGCTTTACGAGCTAGTCTGCCTCCTCGTTGCCCTCTATGACCTGGTGTCCTGGCACATCAGGGTTACTTTGCTCCTCCCAGCCAGTTGCTTATGAATATTTTTACTACCAACTAGCTGCGAATTGCACTTGATGGTTCCTAGAGCCTTTAGAGCCGCTTGACTGTCGGACAATATATAAATGCGCTCTCTTAAAAGAGGCACTCTTGGGCACAGATGAAATATTGTGGGCATATAACCCATTGCTAAGGAAAGTTTAAAGTTTGGTCTAGTTATTCCACACCGACTCATTCCGTGAGCTTCGAACCATCTGTGTAGGTACTACAATGATGCGTTGTCCGCTTGCGGTAGCTTTGCTTTCTCCCATGATTGGCGTTCCTTTACAACCACTTCATATTATGGAATATCAAAGTCCAGTGATGTTATCATATGCCCTGTTGGCTTACTTTGACACTCGAGCTTTACCTTAAATCTTTTTGTCTGGAATAGCCTATAGGCATCTATTGAGAATAGTAGGATGTCATTAAATAAGTATCTCCTTTTCGAATTCCCTTCACAATTTTTCTCAACTGACCTGTTTCTTCGTGAGGGTTTGGAAGATATTTGAGAATTTGAATACAAATCGATGCTATGAGTCAACACTAACACTTAGGTACCTAGTTTTCACGAATTTTAAAAATAGCCCATTCAGTATAAAACTCCGTGGCAGACATAACATAAAAAACTGCGACCACAGTGAGATTTTATTACATAAATAGGAAAACGTATTATATTCCAAGTTACAGGGAAATGATCGGCATTTTTTCTGCTTCCCAAGCATCTCTCGTAAGTCCGAGCCTTGGTAGCAATAAATTATTTAATTTAAACAATCCAGTCATGCCTTTTCTAGGTAAGCTCAGTCAGGAACGTTGCCACTGACCATTTTTAATCAATTTTAACAATACCTAATTAGTTTTGCTTACACTCAACAACACGTTGTCATTTTTTACGTGTTATGTTTTATTTATATTATATTTAGCGCAATATTATTTGTATAATTTATGATTTATGCCATGTACATATTACTAAGTTATTGATCTGTATCATACAAAAAAAAACATTAATAATTTTACTGATTTGCATTTCGTACCATATCGTTGTTGTCGTGTACCTAGTGATTGTTTTAAAGCTTACACAAGCCAAAAACTTACTAGTGGGTAGTTATTCGGAAATTAATCACGCCTTGACCATTGAAACTGTATGGAATACAATGGGAAATAACAAAATATTGTTGCAGATTAATGAGTATGGGTAACTAAAAAGCTAAATAAGTGTGATGAAACTTCTGCCCTTGAAATATCATTTCACAGAAAATCTATCGTTAGCGTCATGCTATTCCAAAACGAATTATTTCTATAAAACAATATAATATACAATGAGTCATGTGCTGATTTCTATTCATTTTGATGATATCTCGATTATAAAATCCCATTTTGGGAGGGGCCAAATACCTATTTATTAAAACATCGTTAATTTTTCTACTGCGAGCTAGTTAGTATTTAGCAACATACCTACTATAATGTAATATCAGGTCGAGTAACTGTTTATAGATTGTTATGACAACTAGCTTGTATAATTACAGACTGTAATAAATAATGTTCTTAATTAAATTTTTTGATGATTTTTGAAAGCTTCAATTTGTTATAAATTTATTCTTTATTAACTCTAATACTATTGAGAACCATTGAATTAGTTATACAGGATGACTCAAATTAGATGCTCATCATTGGGATCCCGAAAACGGTATAATGGATGCGAGGTCGGTTGAATTAGGACAAACTATTAATTTATTGCTCAACAAAATATACCGCTTTGACATTCGGCTTCCGAAGATATCCGGAAAAAAAATAGATCTTGCAATTTTCAGAGGTAAGCTTGACGATGTTACCAGGATTTGTGTAACAATTAATCTCGTGGGGTTCACATGCGGACGATTTCTTAAAATACATGTCAATTCCATACAATGGCATTGGCGGTACGCAGAAAGATGGAGCTATACTGAGACAACAATGTTATTAAAAACCTCACGGATGGTGGATTGATTTGTGAATTTTTGGTTTATTTTTTCCTTGAAAGACTAATTTTATATTGAATATCAAGCATGTCGCCAAATCGTAATCATCCAAAGGTATACGAAGAAGACAAAGTCCTTCCTCTCGCAAGAAGTTTGCTAGGGTTTACCAGTTTCGGAAGCTTTCATTATGCTCCCTTCATCAGAACCAATTTCTCTACTAGCAAATACTACTATTACCAGCAAGCAAAGAGTTTTCCCAGTCATAGAAAATCTTTCGAAAAGTGTGGTCGTTTTTCTAAAACGAGACTACTATTCTGTAAAATCGAAATTGAACAATAATTTAGTTTAGACCAGAAATTAAGGTCTAAGTCTCGTTACCCAATGCATTCTTAACGGCAAGGCAAGGAATGTCATTTACCCATCGACATAAATGTCGAGTCATAAACCGCTACTAAAAACAGCTTAAAAAGATTTGATAAATGTTTCTAGAGAGACCACCATGACATTGGGAATAGGCAGTATGAACTGTGTAGTGATAGTTGGTGACATATATACCTAGTAGATGAGCTTTCATTGGGTGCGCATCAATTTCCTATATGCGGACTTCAATGATAAAATGCTGAGAGTGGGCAACGGAGAATTAATCTACTTATCGCTATGAAAGAAGGAGTGAAAATGATGAAAAATGATGTGTAAAGGCACACCTAGATCTGATGATACTATTCAGTCGACTCCAACAAAGTTCCACCAGTGAGGGTAGCTAATCTAACGACAAACTTGGTGACATTGAAGAAAAGGGAAGTCATCGATAGACGTACACCAGCTATCCGAGTAGTGAGATGGCAAAGGAGAATCTTGTCAATTGGAGCACACTTATCTATAGAACTTATCACAACTTCATAAAGAGGCCAGCGAGAAATATAGAAAGCCATTGATTTTGTGGAAGAAGGGGCTAATGTCTATGCAAAAATGTCTTGACTGTAATCTATTGGGACATCCTCAACAAAGGAAGTGCCATACCTATGGCCAACAGGCTCTAAGAAAGATACAAATTAGAACCGAGTATTCTAAATCACAATACTTATAACCTTTACTTCAGAGACAGTATAATATTGCGACAAACTAACGGGTAAAAATAGACACAAAAATTTTTCAAAAATTACTACTTACGTTGGAGGATTAACAATATTAAACAGCTCCACAGGAGATGTTGGCACCCTTCTCACAATCATCTTTTTGCCATCGGTAGATCCCATACCAACTGAAGCCCAAGATCTCGCTGAACCAGCATCATAAAACGGCCTTGCACTCATGCCGTATCCTGAATCTAAACTGCTTGGAGGTTTATTACCTTGCATGACTAAAAAATAAAGTTACATTATTATTTTTAGAATCAAGTTTACATTAGAATTTAGATAACTCACCGTGCAAATCACTCATAACGTGATGATAATTTTTCAAAGACCTTATGCTGGGATCCCTCCGAAAATTGGGGCTACTTATACTTGAAATTAGTGTGCCTCCGTTTTTATTACTTGTACTTGTGGAAGCTTGTTGAGAATCCGGGTATTGTCTATTTCTATTAGTTAATCGTCTGATTGAGCCTGCAGGGCTTGAGCTTTTACTATCTGCCATTACGTTATCTCTTTTTTTATGATCTAATACTGTTACAGGTACTGGGTCTGAGCTTCTGAGTTCTTTCATTTCGAGACGTTCATCCTCCTCATCTGATGTAAAGGAAAAATATTCGTAATATACAGGTCTGGCAAATCAGCATGCATATTGCAATATAATGAAATTTCTAGAAAAAGTCTATAAGGTTAAATAGAAAACGAAAACGATTTCCCTTGTTCCACCTACAGCATGGAGTGCTGGAAATGCTGGAGGTGGAAATCGTTTTCGTTCTATATTCAACCTTAGACTTTTTCTAGACATTTCATTCTATTCCATTAAAATTGACCCGTGTTCACTTGCCAGATCTTGTTACGTTTTGAAAATACAGGAAAATTGAAAAAGTGTATCCCTGATGTAACGATCAAGGCTGGTTATTATTAATATTATTAATATCTGATGCGGATTTTGATTAATAAGGCTAGTATTATTACTGTTGCAACTATCACTCAAGCTTGTTTTTATGGCCTTTAAGATTAAATCGTGTGTGTATGTTTGTTGCATATAGTCCAGTAGTTGTATGTAACTTTATACGCCGTATAAAATAGCAGGTAGACAAAATAATGATTATAAGATATTTATTTAATAATGGACTTATTATTAACTGAATAATTCTGCCAATTTATCAATTACGAAGACTTATCTAGAACCAACACGAAATTTGAAAAAAGTACATTCCATGGTTGTCAATATAGCAGATAGCTAAGACGTCTCCTACTGGAAAACAATTCAAGCTCAAAATTTCGTGTGGAAATACTATTGATTGTATTTTGTATTCGAAGAATCAGTGCTCTAGTTACTCGGGGTTTATAAACTTTGTAAAACTCTTTTATCATTTATTATGCTGTTGGCGACAAGTTCGCATTCATGAAATTTTGTGTAACTATCATCTGTCCAACCAGCCTACGGAGTAATAGAATCACCCACCCTTCCAGAGGTTTATAACTATTGGACAATTTTCAGCCGGCTTTACACTGTAGAGTACCTTATTTACTGTAACATTTTGAAATAAATAAATACCATAAATCAGAATATATATTCACAGTTCTGTGGCGAGTGCTTTTCAACATTATTGTATGGCATTTTTTTCAGTGTACTTTAGTAGTAAAATATTTTTGCAGTGTAAACCGGGCCGACCAGCCCTGCCATGTTTACTCCGTAGGTTCGTTGGACAAAGAATAGGGAATAATGGACTGCGCATACTGCTGAGCAACAAATTTCTTCTTATTTCCAGAGGAACGTTCTCGAGTAGTCACGGTAGTTTATTGATTATGATTCGCAAATACATTTGACCATTTAAATGTCCCTCAAAAATATGTGGTCCGATGATCCTTTCATCCATGATATAGCATCAGACATTTACTGACTATCGATGAGGGTTATGCGCTTGTCGCATCCAGTGTGGATACAGCCTGGTCTGCATCCATCAGACGAGGTTTTTGCTGTTGCATCATGATGTCAGTATTCTAAGCCGTCCAAAATTAATAATAAAAGGTCTCGTCCACAAATCAAGTTGAAGGGTGAAATAAATCATAGCTTCTTTACACAACTTTATTGAAAATTCGAATCAATCAAGTCAACGTTTCGATACTGATTGGTGTCATCTTTAGGGCTGCTGTCGCAAAGCAAAAAAGTGTGTACGACTCAAAGTTTCAGCCCGGCGATTCGGCCGATTCGCTCGCAAATGGGGGGACTAATTTTTTTTTAATGTTCGTATTTGATATTTGGCTGTGCCAGGACTTATTCATAATATTCTCAATGAGGTGTACAATTTTGCCTTTCGAGTACTTGAAGTCTATTCAAATCCATGGCGATCTAAAACAAAAACCGCCAGACGCGTGATCAATCGTTTGCAGGTGGAAAGCAAGCTCCTTACTGGCCGATTCTAGTTTTGTGGCTCGTGCCGAATTCCAAAAGAGCATTCTCGCCAGTCGATAATGTGAGCAGCGCATAAACAGCGCGTGATTGTGTTTACAGTTAGTTCGCCTTGGAAACTTTAGGTTTTCTCGGATATTATCAGTTCATTGAAAATAATCTGCAATGAAGCCATTACCTACTGATGCTTCTCGGTTAACTTCTACTAGGTACTGTGATATGGGTGTTGTCTTCTAGAATATCACCTGCACCTGAGTCTTTTTTGATTTTGCGCTGAGTAATTTTTATGTCTCTTTCGTCAAGTTCACACACGTAGACCAAATTGAAATGGAACATATGCAATTTTTTTAGAATTGATTCATTTATATTACATACATACCTACAATATTATCATTTGAAGAAGTTTTTTTTAAATATAGCTATATTCTTACTAGGCAGCGAACTGGGAACTTCTTTTGATGCTATGGCAAGGTCTTCACAATGCAAATATCCATATTGTGAATCAATCAATATTTTTTTTTTTGGAGAGTGAATTTTGCCACGCTTCCAAAATGGGTACACGATCACTTTTGCTTTACGTGTATGGAAGATTATATAAAAAACTCACCTTGAGTACCATTACTTTCCTTATCACCAAAATCATTTTCTTCTGGCACCGTTTCCACATCACTTTTCAAGTTCAGTGTTCGTTTTCCCAATCGCGAATTTGATGGTTTTTCGTCTGCCATCTGGAGCTGCCCACTGTTCGCGTTAAACTGTAGATTGAGAGGCGGCTGGACTTGTACCGAAGACATATTTTTTTATTTCAATTGGAAAATTGTCACTGCAATTTGTTTAATATATTATTATTTCGGCCTCAGTAAGTGCTGTTATCACACGGTGCTTTGCGGAACACTGGTAGTTTTAGGTTATTGCTTGTAGACTGAATAAGGTATTCATTCTTCTGAAAACAAACAAAAAAAATCTTTTATTATAGAATAGGTAATAGATAAACTGATCTAATTTTGTTGAACAATTTCATAAATATTATAAATAACCTTTTAAGTTCATAATCTTTCAAAACTATATTTGCTTCATACAGACCAGAATGTCAGAGTTGAAAATAACTGCGATATCTACTGAGGAAAAGTGATAGTTAATAGGGGACATGTACAGAGTGTCCCGTTTCTCAATTCAGGTAATTTTGACCGAGATTGTGACGTTATTTTCTGCGACCAGCTCCCAACTTTTATTAACAAAAACAGGAATTGACTCTTGAATTCACATCGCCTTAACTTAAATGTAGTTATGTGTTCTATGTGACTACTTGAAATTATGGTATTGATAATTTTGACCTGATATAACACGTGGAAGTGTCCCTTATTATGGCCTATTATTTTTCTATAATTATTTCTTGGGGCTTATTGTTGGTTACCATGATTTCTGGTTGACATGTATTTTGCACGGATTAAGTTCAATTATGTCAATTTTTGTCACATAAATGTCGCTTGGGTAGCCCATCTCTACTCTTGGAATATCTTGAAATATGCGAAAATCTCTTACAAAAGATAAGATAGATTTTCTTCACGATTTTTTACCTAAACATCGTATTAATAAGTGGATTGGAAGTTCCATTCCTAATTTTTAAGAAGACTCTGCGCAGCCAGCCACTAATTATTATTGCGCTGTTCAAGTACGATACTAAAAACGAGTGAATTTTCGGTAAAAAATTAGAAAAACTCCCTCGTTCTCCAGTTAATATCGTAGTTGAATAGCTTAATAAAGTGTAAATAATACCTAATTTTTATTTATATTGGTTAACCTCATCATCTACTGGGTTTTCAGGATTACTCACCAGGATAAAGCGTGGCCTGTTGCTCATTAATATGCTGTTCAGATAGGTATGAGTGAGTTGCTACAAAACAACAAAACTCACTAGGCTCATCCCGCAGAGCTCCACTCATGGCTTCAATCCACTCATTAATACGCTTACGCTAATCTGTACCTGTTTTACTTCACCAAACGGAAATTTAGTAGGTACCTAATAGATATTCTTAGATTTTAAGCCGTACTGCCTACTTTTAATTGCTCAGCAATCTAGCGAGTTTTGAGGCAAATAAACTTTTTTCAACAGATGTCAAATAGCATGTTTTGCGAACTCAAAGTCACATTTTACTTGATAAATTTTTGTTAAATTCTTCGTGAACTTAATTTACTTTTATATATTTGGTACCTACTGATACAATTAGGATGCGAATAATGTCTAAATTAATGAAATTAACTATTATTTCAAGAGCTATAATGAAATTGAATTAAAAAGTACGAATATTAAATTAATTAATTATAGGTATCTGCTTTTCTTTTATCATAAATGCATAACTAGCGATAAGTAAGTAATCTATATTTCTATAAGTACCTATATGATTATTGATTATATTATATGCATTGTTTTTTTTTGGTAGGGTTTTTACCACATCTTTTGCTTACTGTATTGACCTAGAGCCTGTACCGTAGACCAATTTGTTGATCGAGCCACCATCAGGAACTACAAACTGTACAAGGGTACGGTACCCTAAATTACTGAAATGTAGAATCAAAAAGACTTTTCTACATGCGTGACAACTGCCTCGCACGAAAATTAATAGTTTGAAAACTTGCCGTCGGAATCAGCATTTTCGGACGTTGTGCCGGAAGGTATGAAACACACCATAATGCATCATTATTGTGCAGAATACCTTCTCATGCATAACTGTATATTTAGTAGAAAAACATGAAAATTAAATTGATTCTCGACACGACAGTCGATAATTATTGACGATCATCGAATGACAAGAAATTCAAAATAGATTTGTCCAATTATAAGCATCAATGCAAAGAGAAGTTGCATTCTGCTAACATAGGTACACTAAACTTGAAATCGAAAGAACAATTTGTAGAAAAATTATCCTGAAGATTGCCCCAGCTCAGACAAAATTTGTCGACTGAAAATCAATTCAATCAAAGAAACTGTATTATAGACAATGATTGTAATCTGGAGATTACTGGCCTCCTATATGGGTGCCGAGAAGTTTATGGACTTCGATAACAAATCGAACCACTCGTCATCGGAATGGAATCTATTTTAAAAACGGCTTACTCAGAATCGAACATGGAATCTGATCGCTAGCAGATTATATTGTAGGATCCTGATTACACAGACAGGTTTAGTAAATCGATGCTATGCGATAATATTTGTTTAAAGGTTGAAAAAAATTAATACATAAAGATAATTTGTTGGTCTAGCTGAATAGATTTCAAAAGTACAGTCTCGGCTTATAGATCTATTTCGATGTAATAAATAATTTGTTTATCTATGATAATTCGTGCCTTAGTTTTGAGAGTTCTACCAATCAAATTATTCATTTACGAATAACCCATCATATCATATCTATTCGAAGTATAACCGAAACTTTAAAGACAAAATTGACATATAGTGCTCGCTTTAAGTAGATACGATTTCAATTTCAAGGGATGTTATAAAAGTGTTCGATAATAGATGATATCAATAAATTATGTTTAATATTATGTTTATAGGTTTTGGATAATAATATAGTCATAAGTTCAAATTATTGCCTATGTTGCAATCATTATGAAGAAAACTGGTAATAGTTCATATATTGCGTTACTTGAACAACAAAAAATTTCAAGACAGGAAATATATTTGAATAGAAGTTATTTTTACATAATTTACATTATCAACAAATGTAGGATTCTAATTCAAATGTAAAAATTTCATTAGAACTTTTTAGGCAACCAAATGGAGAACTTTATCAAATAAAATAATTTTATCCCAGCATGTCATAGAAAAAACACATATTAAGTAAACATAAGAAGCTATAACATGGCACTCTTTTGCTTAGTCATATTCCGCTTAATTAGTTTTAAAATAAAATATTACTTACCTATAATTAATTCATGGCAAGGAACTAAATGCAAGGTGGTAGGTAGGTACACAACACAAATTATTTGAAACGTAAGTATGTTAAATAAATTACTAAACAACACAATGGCAATATTTTAAACGGCGCTCAATGACGAAACAATGTAAAAAATACACACAAGAAACGCGTAACTTTCACGGCAGGCCGTTTGTTCGTTTTAAACCGTACCGTTAAAGTCCATCGTCCGTTTTCATGTGATGCCGGCAAAAGACTAAAAACGGAATTATAAATTGTTGATGTCGTTAATTATTGCAATCGGAATGAACTAACGTCCCACCACTCATATTTGTTTCGGTTCTGGATTAATAATAATCTTTCTTTTATCTCTCGCTGATGATGGCGCTCAATGGAGTGTACAGTGTACCGTCCTGATAAGTTCTCTTATCATGAGTTTTTTTGCCTAATTTTCGGCACGTTTGCATACAGCATCTATAACAGAATATCATAAATAGGTACATATATTTTTTTCTAATTTAACTAGATGCCCCTCTATGCATATACATAATACGAGTTTTAGATTTAAATGAGTGCACCAGATATATTTTTGGGCCACCGGAAAAAGAAAAGATGATCGACGAATAACGTTAGGCAAGAAATTAATGATAAAATAGTGTTATAGTTTAGATTCAGACGAAAAAGGACAATGTGTCAAAAAAAAACCTTTTTTATATAGGTATGCTGTGGTAATAGACAGAACGGTAGGCATCAAAACATTCTGCCACCCATAGCCCGGAAACCTGGCCAACCAAATTCGATGTGGCATAATGTTACTACAGGCGCTGCATCAGGGGTAAGAATGTCAGGAGGATGATGGAGCTATTTAAAGGGTCAGAAGTCAGAATGTTATTGCATGGGCTAGATTCAGGGTCAGAATGTTACAGGCGATACAGCATTAGTATTGAATTTTTTTAAAAAATCTATAACTGTCTTTTGTACGTGTGATACAATTCAGAAATTTAGATTTTAATAATTTAAAAGGTCGGTAACTGACGTGCAACCAACTGCTATTGCTCGACGAAGACCAGAAGTAGTGAGGGGCTTCAAAAGAGCTCCCCTATAGGTCGCCCAGCCCAATGCGAACCATTAAGAAGAAGAGCAAAACGGCGACATAATTTGGCAGAAAATGTTCTGCACATTAAACTTCCTTTTCAAATTAATGGTCGTTTGCACCGACCATTTTATGGAAGGCTTAACGATAAGTAGGTATTCCTTAAAGACCTTAAAGTGCTCCCATGTAAAAATGTCATTTTAAGGGTAGACTTATCGTTAAGGCTTCCTTAAAACAGTCGATGCAAACGGCTATTAATATAGGTATTTACTATTTTTCCTTTTTTTATTTTATGTAGGTAAAGACCTAATAAATGTTTATTTTATATATTTTTTTCAATATGTACCTACATCTATATTATAATGTAATTATTTATTTAAATCTCTTATATTTTGTAGATGATACCGCTACCTCTCCTAAGGCTTAATTTTATTATAAAATTATTTTCTATAAAAGTGATATCTTCATATTTCAGTAACAAGAAGTAACTATAAATACAAGCTTATTCAGAAAATTAAAAAGGGAAAGAAAATTTTACAAAAACGTGTAGTCTTTGAAAAATTTAGAACTTAAATTTTTAAATATTGGGAATTCAGATTTTGCTAAATCTAAATTTATTAACCCCTTATATCCAAAATCCAAAACTAACAATTCAATCAATATATTCATGAAAAAATCTATAGGGATAAAAATAAAATCTAAATTTCTGAATTGTATAACACTTACAAAAGATAGTTATAGATTTTTGAACATCAAACATTGTTTCTTAAATGTTATACTAATACTCTATCGCCTGTAACATTCTGACCCTGAATCTAGGCCATGCAATAACATTCTGACCCTTTAAATAGCTGCATCATCGTCCCGACATTCTGACCCCTGATGCAGCGCATGTAATAACATTATGCCACCCAAAATAGCCACTTCGAATTTGATTGGTCAGGTTTCCGGGCTAAGGCTAGATTGGGTGGCAGAATGTTTTGATAGATCAGTGATCCTGAAACTAAAAAGTTAGTTGAGAGCCCATTCACGCTCCAGACTACTCCAGACATAGGTAAATTTAAAAATAATGCGGCAGTTGATTATGGAAAAAGTATAAACTAGAAAAAGAAAACATATCATTCCGCCGCAATTAAATTATTGGAGGTCAATCTTTTATTCTTCACCTGTACCTAAGTAATTTTTTTTAAATTCTTCTCTGAAAATGTTTGAATTTAAGATACTAAACTAGCGTTCCAGTCTTAATTTTCTCTAGAATGAAAAAATAAAATAAAAATCTGCTGCACTATACCGGGTGCACATGAGTTCATTTTCCGGCTGCTATTTTTTTAATTGTCTATCGATATCAACGAAACTTGGTAGGGTTGATATTCTAACCAAACGCCATTTTTATGCATTTATGACAAGTTTCCCTAACTTCCGGTTTCACCAGAAATGACTGGAACTTTTGATTTTTAAATGGCAGACACTCTGTTTTTCGGATTCTACAGATCGTTTTACGTCATAATGCACCACTTTTGAATCAAGTTTTGTCCAAATTTGGTTTTTAATTAAATTTTAATTTTTTAACTAGAGTGCCCATGATCATCCTAAAATGACTCTACATACCTAGTTTAAGAGTTTACTTAATTTCAGAAACATACAGACTCAATTTTATCTTTGTATACTTTTTTGATAGAGGGCTAGCTCAAAAGCTAGAATAGAAACATGTCACTTTCATAACATTACTAAATGATGCAGTATTTTGAAGCGAATTCAACGATATTAGAGAATTATGGCACCTTCAAATAGTGACGATCACTAATATAAACGTTCTTATTTTGACATTATTGACACCTACGCATGCGTATTTGTGACTAAAAATAGTGGCGATAGTAATAAAATAAGGATCATCCTTATTTGTGATTGGATAATGAAAGGCAGTATTGATTCCACTATTTTTTGAGACATGCGCAAATGTCAGTTGTCCAAGAATTTTTCAGATTCTAACCTCATATAATCTGTCTATATTTTTTGTTTGTGTTTTGTGAATGGATAAAACCGAAAAACATCATTTGCACCCCCCAGAATGGCAGCTTCTAACATTTCTTCCATTACAATTGAGTAAACAACGTGACACTGACGCGAAAAAATTGTCAAAACAGTGGACATTTAACACGTTGTGTCATAATTCTTTTAATTCATAAGAAATAGTGACTGTCAGTAATTAAATAAGGCTGATCAGTAATAAAATCGATCACTATTTGGGAAGTGCCATAATTCTCTATTATACACTACGACATTTTTCTTAATTTTCGTTCAAATATTTTTGTTTTATTATATAGGTTTTTTTTTTTTCTACTTAAAATTTAATTTGAAAACGAAATTTGGACAAAACTCGATTTAGAATTACATTAGGACGTAAAACAATCTGTAGAATCCAAAAAACAAAAAATATACAGGGTGTGCCATTTGAAAATCGAAAGTTTCGGTAATTTCCGGTGAAACCGGAAGTCAGGAAAACTTGTCGTGATTGCATAAAAATGGCGTTTCGTTAGAATATCAAGCCTACCAAGTTTCGTTGATATCGATGAACAAATAAAAAAATGGCAACCGGAAAGTAATCTCGTGCGTGGGCACCTGGTATAAGCTCAAGTCCATTCTTTTTTTTTTTTTTCGGGTGATATACAGGGTGGGCCAATAGAAAGATTCCTTGTCGGTTTCCTTGGGTTTTACGTAAATTGTGGCTTGTTTATTTCAGGGGGATTATTTAATTCGGGTTTTTCAACCCTTAGGCGGCGATGATAGTTACTTTTAATATTTTTGATTGGAAGGGGGTTATTGGGTAGTGTGAATAAAAATTTAGTGAAAGCTTTATCTTGCATTTCCTAAGCATATACTTACTTTGCACTGAATAAAAATAAGTGTTAGCTTTAACTAAAAATTCAATTAGTAAAAGCTACAGTTTTTAGCATTGTCTTGAAATGGTGTGAATAAAAGTAAGCAATTCCTAATTATATGAAGGAAAAGCTTAAATTTTTGCAAGCCTGGTGAACCTTGGCTTAAACATTCTACAGTGACTTTATTGACTTTATTACCACAGTGGCGACAATTGCTGTCTTCTTTTTGATCGGTTCTTTAAAATCCTATATATTCATATGGAAAAAACCGCCATTTTGTGCCGAACTTTTTGCTACTTTTAAATATGAATATATAGGATATGGACAGCCATAATAGGAAATTAGAAAAAACGTATTTGATGTATGTACTTAATAATAGTAATTAAAGATGTCGCTTCCAATTTTTTATGATAGATGTTCATTTAAATCCTATAAAATCATATTTAAATGTAACAAGAGGTGGGGCACCAAATGGCGGCAGGACCTCTATTGTCGCCACTATATGTAAAGGTTTATTTAGCCACTGTAAAACATTCTAGTGATGTTCAAAAGTTTGGCAGAAATGGCTGCGTTTATGAATGTTTGCGAAATTTTATCCCGAAAGAAAAGAAAGTCGTTCCGGAGAATACCAAAGTCCGTCAATATGAGGTTGACTGAAGATTTTTCAGGAACCTCCTCCTGCAACAAATCACTTATAGAATTGCCTGAATCATTATTCATTTTCACCTTGAAGCGCTAGTTTTCGATACCGCTTCTTGTTTAAAATAGGTACGTTCACCAGCACTCGAATGTTGCCAACAGTTGAGTAGTTGGAGTTGGGGAAACAATGGGTTCGTTCACCAATACTCAGCAGCTAACTTGCAGTGAAGAGGAGTCGAGGACAGTTGAGACAGCGGATGTAGATTTCCTGAACGCATAGTTAAGAGTTATGACAAATAACAATTCAATAAGATAAGTTGGTAAGCGTAAATTTTTACTGCTTAGAGAAACCGGCACCAGCCGACCAAAAGCTGCTGCCGATTTCTCTAAGCGGTAAAAATTTACACTTACCAACTCAACTTATGCTTTAGACATGCGCAGAAGTGTCGGGCGTTCAGGAAATTTACATCCGCTGTATCTCAACCATCCTCAACTGCATTACGCTGCAAGTTAGCTGCTGAGTACTGGTGAACGTACCCAATTATTGACTTCTTTCAATATTTTCACGCCGCCGGTCATAGCTTTGGTCCAACCATTGATGTGTTCCAACACATCAAGAAACCGTACAATGTGCAATGTACCGTCATATGACTCTGCACAAAACCAAAAATGTGTGCGTAGAATCAGAAATTCGTATACAGAGTGGTTTTTAGACCGTTCATGGA